AATATACCGACTTCTAAGTCTAATTGTATTTTTTATTTATTTGTGAGAAGAAATTTATTAGGGCAGATCCTCTGCTTCCCACCTTTCCCTTTACACAACTCATCGTCTGAACTTCTATTACAAGCAGTGTCATGAAGATTCTAAATGTGGCTGAAAAAAATGATGCTGCCAAAAACATAGCCAATCACCTTGGAGGTGGCAATGTTCGAAGGGTGAGTTAATCTTAATTTGATTTCTAGTTTCTTAAACCATTTTGTTTAAATTTAACTCTTTGTTTCTTCTCAATTGTTTCAGAGAGATGGTTTAAGCAAATTCAACAAAATTTATGAGTTTAATTGTAATGTACGAGGACAAAATGCTCAAATGGTCATGACATCTGTGTCTGGTCACATGTTAGCTCTTGATTTTAGTGGACAGTATCGGAACTGGCGGGGCTGCAACCCCCTTTCTTTGTTTGATGCGCCTGTTGTCAAGTATTGCCCTAAGGATTATGAAAACATTAAGGTAAATTGATCAATTCAACAAAGATTCATGTCTAGATGCACATGTTCTCTTGAACTAACTGCTATAATTTTGAAGTTGTTCAATCTTGCTTGTAGCGAACAATTGAGCGAGAAATACGGAGTTGTCAGATGTTAATAATATGGACTGATTAGAGAAGGTGAAAATATAGGATATGAAATTATTGATACCTGCCTGGCAGTGAAAACAAATCTGCAAGTCTTCAGGTAAAGAAAATTGCATTAAATTAATTTTGAAGTAAAGCACATCGTGGTTTATGAAATGTTTATCAAAAATAATCTGCTGTTTTGCATAATTGTAGAGCAAAGTTTTCAGAAATAACAGCTATATCTATTCGAAGAGCTATTAATACCCTTGAGGCCCCAAACAAATTGTTGAGTGATGCTGTGTCTGTGAGGTCAGAGTTAGACTTACGAATAGGTATGTAAATTCAAAAGTTGTCATCGCGAGGAAGTAGGAGTACTGCTGATCTACATCATGGGTAATTTTTATTTTTCAGGAGCTGCCTTTACTAGGTTTCAAACATTACGCCTACAAAAAGTTTTTCCTCAAAAATTAGGGGAGAATCTAATTAGCTATGGTTCTTGTCAGTTTCCAACTCTGGGGTTTGTTGTGGAACGCTACAAATCAATTGAAAGGTTCATTCCTGAACCATTTTGGAGATTAGTTGTTACTCATACAGTAGACGACTTAACTGTTCAGTTTTCCTGGAAAAGAGTAAGACTTTTTGATGAGCTTGCATGCCAAGTTTTACTAGACACTGTGCAAGAAAGACCAGAAGCTGTCGTTGAGAAAGTAGTAAACAAACCTAAAAGCAAATGGAGGCCTGTACCATTGGATACCATTGTAATTTTTCTATTATTTTTATTGTAAATGAGCTGTTGCATACATTTTCTTTTCTTTTTTCATTTTTGTTGTACCTTAATTTTTATAGGAACTAGAAAAATTAGGATCTAGAAAGCTGAAAATAAATGCGAAAGAGACCATGAGGGTTGCTGAACGCTTGTACACGCAGGGCTTTATAAGTTACCCTCGAACAGAGACTAACATCTTCCCCAAGAACATGAACCTGGGAGAGCTTGTTGGAATGCAAACTCAAGACAGACGTTGGGGAGGTACCATTTGAAATTTTTGTTCAAACAATTTTGGTGCTGACAATACCTAAGCCAATGTAATAATTTTGTTGTCAACTATTTTCAGCATTTGCGCAATCTGTTCTAGAGGAAGGGCCAAACCCTCGCCAAGGAAAAAAAACAGATGAGGCCCATCCCCCCATTCACCCTACAAAACATACTGATAACTTACAGGGTTTGTAATGATTTTTCGCTCTCCTAACATAGTTTTGTGTTTGTTTGATTTTACAAGTCAATCATCATCCGCTATTCTTTCAAAAATATTCTTTTTTACAGATAATGAAAAAACAGTTTATGAATTCATTGTTCGTCACTTTCTGGCATGTTGTTCAAAGGATGCTCAGGCCCATGAGACAATTGTTGATATTGATATCAATGGAGAAAAGGTACTTGTGGATTGTTTTCTGTGTTTTTATTTGTAGTTCATTTTTTTTTTGCAGTCATCATTTAGAAGTCTTATCTATTGTTTTGTAATTATCAGTTTGTAGCCAGTGGCCTCAGAATAACAGCTCGAAATTACTTGGATGTTTATCCATATGATAACTGGAAAGCCAAAGAAATTTATGCTTATGATGAGGCCCAACATTTTGAGCCTACTAATATTGAAATGCCATTCGGGAATACTGCTGCTCCAAACCCACTCACTGAAGCTGATTTGATTGCCCTTATGGAAAAGCATGGCATAGGTAAGTGATTTTTGTTATGTGTCTGTAAAGCTTATCCTCAGCATAAAGGGGTAGGCATGACAACAGTATGATCACTAAGTGCTAAATTTGCTTACCCCATGTCAAAACCTAATCTTCGTGCAGAATTAGAAGCTGACCTGCAGAGGTAAAGTAATTTACCTATACTACTTAATCTCTCTACTACAATTTACAATATAAATCTAGAGAGACTGCTAATATCTTTATTCATAATAGCAGTCTCATTCATTTTAGAATCCATTTTACCTTCCCTACTGTGTCTAGTAGTCTGATAATTTTTGAATTTAAATGCCATTGTATAATTATTATTTTGTATACTGCCTTTGTACTGCACTATTGTCAAATTAAAGGTGAACTCTTTTCAGAATTGCAAATGGCACCCGTGATGCAAAAGATGTATTGGCAGACCAATTAAGAAATTACCGTGCAGTATTTGAGCGCGCTTTAGAGCAGGTAAAATTTTTACGTTTTGTATAGAAATTTTAATATTCTTGCAACCTATGACTTTGATATATTTTTTACCTCCAATCAGGCAGCAAAGATTGATATTGCTCTAGCTCAGTATTTGAATGAAGAAAGGCAACCTGCAACTGAAACTGCTGGTGCAATAATAGAGATTGCTCACAAAAAAGTTTGTGTTTGCCCATCATGTGGGCAAGATATGATTCTTAGAGCCAAAAATAAAAATCCTGGTTATTTTATCTCTTGCATGGGTTTCCCTGATTGCATAAAAGCAATTTGGTTTCCTAGTTTTGTTGAGCATGCAGATGTATCTGATGAAATATGCAATGCTGTAAGTTTTACCTGTTTGTGGTTACTTAGTTACTTGATGCACACTACTTTTGCTCAGATTTTTTTTTCTTGTTCTGTGTGTGCAGTGCAATTCCAGGCCTAACAAAATAAAATTTCGATTCAAGAGGGGAGCATGTCTTCCACTCTATCCAGACAACTATGAGGGCTGTGTCGGAGGCTGTGATGTGACATTAATAGATAAGCTTTCCATATGCCCTATTTCTGATTTAGCAGGCCTGATTAATGGTAAGAAACCACTATAGGAAAAATATTTAGTTGAAAGAATTTGCATGACCCAAGCTATCATTTTTATTTTAGCGGCACCAAGGCCTGCTAACACTGGGAATAATCAGAGGAACCCTCCAAGTCCCCCAAACCGTGGCTCTGGATCCTCAGTCAACAACAGGCAGTATGATGAAATACAGATCCTTTTGATTCAACATTACCATTTGTTTCTTGGTTCAAGTTATTAAAACAAAATGTTTTACAGGGTTAGACCAGCAACAGTGCCAAGGGGAGGAAATACTGCCACGAGTGCTTTGGGGGGCCTCTTCCAAACTAGACAAAACTCAGTGCCTCCTGATAATTCTGTTGTCTGTAAACGCAATACTGATGCAATTCAACTAACAGTCCGTAAAGAGGGGCCTAATCAAGGTATGAATTTCTTTTAAATTTTCTGGCTATTTTCTAACAGATTGATAATACAATGATTTCAACATTGAAGAGGAGGATGAAGAAGACTATATGCAGTATATTCCTCCTGAAGGTCCTCCACAGCAAACAAGCAGCAGAAAACCTTCTGCGATGCAATCTTCTTCATCTTCTACCTCCACAAAATCTGTTGCTCAAGTCACTAGTGGGGATACTGAATTAGGACGTTTCCACCATGGCATTAGAAATGATGGGAGGACTGGAGAATTTGATGGACATAATCTCAGTCATTCAAAAGAAATGTGTGATGTATTCAGAGCTAAATTTGGTCTACGTGAGTTCCGTCCCAATCAACTTCAAATTATTAATGCAGCCATCTTAGGCCATGATTGCTTTGTTCTTATGCCTACTGGAGGTGGAAAGTCACTGTGTTATCAACTTCCTGCCTTATTAAATCCAGGAGTCTCTATAGTAATTTCACCTCTGAAATCCCTCATATTTGATCAAGTGCAGAAACTTAATTCTTTGGATGTAAGTACTATGTTAGATTAATGGCTTATTGTTTATTCTCATTTTGATTCTGTGCTCATTATGAACTTTCGGTTTACAGATTCCATCTGCTTGCTTATCAGGTGATATTTCCAGACAGCAAGTTGACTATGTATATTTCGATCTAAGCTTGAGGGAACCAAGTAAGTTTCTGTTTCCATTTCTATTATTTATCATTCTATTTTTTTATTATTTTTTTATGAAAGTTTCTTTAAAATAACTCTGTAATCCAATTCTTTGACCCTCAGGTATTAAGTTGTTGTATGTCACGCCTGAAATGTTGAGTGCAAGTGACAAGTTGAAAAATATTCTCTCATCTCTACATTCTCGTGGAAAATTAGCTCGTTTTGTTATTGATGAAGCTCATTGTGTGTCCCAGTGGGGCCATGACTTTAGGTAATATACAGTATTTTATCTTCTATTTGTCCCAAACAAAATTTTCACCTCATAGTTTGTGTTTGTTTTAATTTAAAAAATAATTGATATTCTAGGCCAGACTACAGAAAACTGAATGAACTACGTCAAAAGTATCCTAAAGTACCATTTATGGCTCTGACAGCAACAGCCACTCCAAGAGTTCGGATAGATATTAAACATCAGCTTGGTCTTGTTGATGTGAAAATGTATGATCAACTGTTTTATTTTTGTTATCCACTTGCAATCATTTTACAGCGTTTACTTCCATTTTTAAAATCTATAACTTATCTTTCTAGGTTCTTATCTAGTTTCAACCGATCAAATTTGAAGTATGCAGTGTTGCCCAAAAAGTCAAAAGCTTGTAATGCTGACATGATTGAAATGATCAAAGAGAAATTTCCACGCGCATCAGGGATAGTGTACTGCTTCTCTCGGAAAGACTGTGAGACAACTGCTCAGGAGTTCACTAATGCAGGCATCAAAACTGTAGCATATCATGCTGGGCTTTCTGATAAAGCAAGAGCCTCAACTCAATCTCAGTGGATCTCCAATAAAGTGAAGGTGCTTGAACTGTTTTATATTCAAGTTGAATCCTGTTCTTGTTACTTTAATTGGTTTGACATGGGTTTCTTTATTTGAATGTTTGAGAAGGTTGTAGCTGCCACTATTGCCTTTGGTATGGGGATTGACAAACCCGATGTCCGCTTTGTTTTCCATCAAACTATGCCAAAGTCAATAGAGGGATACTATCAGGAAACCGGCAGAGCTGGTCGTGATGGTAAATTGTCTCACTGCATCACATACTACAAATATGAAGATTCCATTCGACTGAAGTCAATGATTGAGAGTGAGTACCCATCTCTGATCGTTCTGTTTCCTGCATCATATCATTGATGTCATAACTGATTACAACTCTTATTATTTTATTTTGTCAGGTGATCAGTCTTCATATACAGATTGGAATGCAAGGAGAACTGTTCTTGATAGACACTTAGAAAATCTCAGATTTATGATTTCCTTCTTTGAAAACAAGACTGATTGCCGCCGGTCTCAGCAATTACATCACTTTGGTGAATTTTATTCTTCAGAGATGTGTTTGAAAAATAGAGCAACAGCTTGTGATAACTGTGAGGCCAAGGTAATTGATAATACAGTAATAATCTAAATTATTTGTTTCCGTAGATAACCGTAACATAAACAAGTCACTACTAAGAAAATGTGTGTTGCTGTAAAATTGTGAATATATTTAAACATTTGCAGGGTCAATATACTGAAACTGATGTGACTTCGGAAGCTCGGGCTATAGTGAAATTTGTTAAGGATAAGTGCAATGGAACTGGGCCAAAATTCAACTTTTCTCTTCTGCATATGGTAGATGTGTTCAAGGGAAGTAAAGTGAAGAAAATAGTTGATGCAGGTAAGCAAGTTTTTTTCTTTTCCTTTCGACCAGCCTTATCTTCCTCAATTAACCTTTTAATCGCAGTTCATGTTCTTTATTTCGCCAGAACATCATTTGCATCCTATGCATGGCATGGGTAAAAAATGGATGAAAACTGATATTGAAAGGTTGTTCCACAAGCTGGTTATAGAAAGTTATCTGAAGGAAAGTCTTCACACCAACCATCTAGACATGACCAATGCATATTTGAAGGTTGGATCAAAAGCTGCCTTACTATTTGATCAAAACTTCAAGGTACTTTGTATAATCTATCTAACTTGTGTAATTACACATTTTGTGAACGGAGGTTTATACATTTCATTCTTCTTTTAGATGATGTTCCCAATGAATGGCCCTGGTAGTAAGGCTGTTACTGAAGTTGAAGAAACAAGTAATGATCAATCTGATCAGGAAATGGAGGAGATTCACAGTCAGTGCTACACTGAACTTTCTGAGAAAGTCCAGGCTATGGCAGATTCTATGGGTGTCAGCTCTGCTTCCATTATGAACCTTGAGGTGATGATTCTGGGTGATAATTTAAATCTGTGGAGACTTGTATCTTTGTACTGATGATTGATACCTCGTTTATATTTTTAACAGGCTGTGCGGTGTATGGCTCAAGAACTGCCTGAAAATGAAGAAGAGATGCTCAGAATACCGCATGTTACTAAAGCTAATTTTGTGAAGTATGGTGATGCCTTATTAGAGGTCACCCAGGAGTATGCTAGCAGGAGGAATGGTAAATTGCTACATTTAAGTGTGCACTTGAATGTTTAATGTTGTACATAATTTCTAAAAGAAAATCATTTCCAGCACTTATGGCTAAACGGGAAGAAGATAAAATTAAAGAAACCTTTGCAAATGGCATTGAAGACTGGGATGATGATTTTGGAGGGGACAACAATGGTAATGAACAGGAATCTCCCTACTTTACATCACCAAGTGGAAGTAAACGAGGAGGATTTAAACGAAAGGGTGGCTTCCGTAAAGGAAAGAAAACTTGGAAGAAGAGGTACGAATTATAATATAAGTACCTACCATTATACTGTGAATTTTGTACTGTACCATAATGTTGTTGCCCAATTGTTTCCAGCCGTGGCAGTAGCTCGAGGAGTAAGGGATCCTCCAGTGGTTCAAGTAGTCGTGGTTCATCTTCCAGTAGGGGGGCCAGTAGTCGTGGAGGCAAAAAAAGTGCTTCAAGCTCAGGACCAGGCATTATGAAATTGCCTAGTACCCGTTCTTTTTTGGGCGCACCACGTGTATCCTCAATTTAAATTGACATCTGAACTAGGTACTTTTGTGATACAAATCATCAGGGTATTTGTTCTAAACCTCTATGCTGATGTAGCTTACTGTGTTACTGTATTTGTAATTTGAAAATTGACAATTTTGTATTGAAATGTGCTCTAA